AGGTCTTAAATGTAATAGTTACCTAACATATAAGTACCAAACATGCAACATTGTAGAGCCAATATATTACGAAAAAGCGACACATGCGTTGCTATGGAGAGTCATTTTGATGCTGTGACGACACAAAACTCGAGCATACCGAAACTCAACAAGCCGTATCCCACACTGAGCTTTGATCAAAGACGTTTTAATAAATCCGTGCGCACAGCTCAGTACCACAATACGGGCATAGATCGACGAGCGAATTTCGAACATGCAATGGAATTTTGTAACCGTGACTAACATTAAAATAACTTCGGCGAGGGATCAGTTCCCTAAACCATAGATCACTTTGAGGTTACCGTATTCCTTTCATGTGCCGAGCTGCCAAATCGAATACAGCCAGTATGGATTTTCTAGCACTGCACACAAAAAGAACGTAAACTCACAGGACAATGGCGAAATCGCCATTTTTTTTGTATAATTTTTATAATAATACTAATCTACCGTTCATAGTTATTTTTACTTGACATTGGCAAATTCATTGATTATTTCGATGGGGCATAACATTTAAAAGAAGAAGAAAAGAACGTCGTCTGAGAAGACCGTAATCCAATCGCTCGGGCGAGTAAGTGAAGTACACATTCTAACTCTTGATCAGTAAAGATAGCACATGTAATAACGTAATTCTTGTCTCTCTGTAGATATAATAGCAACGAGATGGGAAATAAATTACTTAAAACATTCAGGCCTGTAGGAACTATACCACCCGTTGGGGAATTACGAAATGCTGTTCGCTAAGAAGAAAAAACGAGAAAAAATGTGTAGTTACTGTAAAAAAATATTGTCTCTGTTTTTGTGTGTAATCCTTCGTAATAAGACATTTTTTTTTCTCTAGATACTAATTTTACTCCCTTTTTTCCGCTACAAATCTATAACAAAATAAATTTTTTTCGTTTTTTTTTATGCACTCCAAATTACACGGGATGCATTTTGTTTTTTGTAAAAAAAACTTAAGCTATTTCTGTTATATTAATATTCTACAATTCAAATAATAAGACGTAAGTAAATTATGCACAGTTCTTATCTCTTCTTAGTTATATTACGTTAAGGTAAAGCCAGCCGGTTTTAACAAGAAAACACAGTGCGTACGCACGGCGATAGTAAGTGTTGTGTTTCAAAGCACAATATACTTTATCTATTACAATAAAATTTTAATAAAAAAATTTTAATTTATCAAAAGTAACGTGTAAAAGGCGCGAGTAAAAACCGTAACAATCAAACCTATTGCAATATAGAAATGAGTTTTTAATTTAAACATACTAGACTATTCCTTGTAATTTTATTAAAATGCTTATTGTAATCACCACACTTGTCGTAGTAAGTCGTTCGGACGTCCGCGCCGCCATTCGGCCATCGTCTCGGATCGGATATTAAATCTGGCTTTCTTGCCTTGAGAGTCCTCCGGCCGTCGACGCGTCCATTCGGACTTCGACGCTGCTATACGGGCACTGACGGTAGCGATCAGCCGTCGTCGGCTGCGTACGGTCGCGATCGGAAATTAGCATGAAGGAGATTTGTTGCCGACCTGTGTCGGGCCGCGTAGTCCGACCTGACACCTACACATAAGCTTTTTCGAATCGACTTAATTCCATGTCTATAAATGTGGCGACTCCTTAGAGGGGTCTATTTATTTTTTTTAGAAAAATCGGTTTTTGAAATTTTTTTACATTCCTAACAATAGTGATGTTCTGATACAGTGATGTATATAGGTTTCAGCCTAGTTTCAAGTCTACATCTTACAAATCACTTACTTAGCGCTTAAATATAGTTTATATTTACAAGGAGACGACGTTATGAAAATGTATGACGTAACTATTTTGTCACCTTGTGTTTAATTTGAAACAGTCTCAGTAACTTGTCCTTTCATAGAGATGTATACATTTTGCATTATTGGCTATTTAAAGGGAAGGCTCGGGCCTCCGCTTTAATACACACAATATGAAGGAGACGTTACCCCTGTCAACAAGGCTTTGTTCTGTTCATTGTTTTCATCACATCGCTGTACAATTATGAAAAAGACAAATAAATTAAGATTTGGTCGTGAAATGTTAATATCACCAAAACAATAGGGCGATATTGTGTTACACGATTCCTTAGAGGCATCACGGAAAGCTCCACGGTCTTATTTTGTAAATATATGTAGATAAACTTTGAAGTGGTAAACCAAGTGTCAGTTGCCAGCTCTCTTAATATTTTACAGGAAATTACACGGTAATATTATTTTTCTGTGGTAATATCAATATTTCAAAATAGTAATGAGATGTCTATTTGCAGTATGAAATTGTCTACTATTTTAGTCGCGTAAAGCATTTTAAATCTTTCCACTTGAGGGATTTTTTGTTACACAATAACGTCCTAACAAAATAGTAAATCTAAGTTAAACAAAAATTTACTAATTTTTGGACCAACTCTGTTGTGGCCAAGTCCAAATTATAAACCAAAGAAGAATTCCAACACAAACAATCTTTAAGTTAAACAAAAATTTTACTAATTATTGGACCAGCTCTGTTGTGGCCAAGTCAAAATAATAAATCAAGGAAGAATTCCAACACAAACAATATCCAAGTTAAACAAAAATTTTACTAATTATTGGACCAATTCTGTTGTGGCCAAGTCAAAATAATAAATCAAAGAAAAATTCCAACACAAACAATCTCTTATAGAATCTGAAAGATTGACTGAAATTAAAGTTTTGGCCTAAAATAAACTCTGCGGTGATCAAGGTGTAATATAAAAAAATCAGCTAAAGAATTTTGACTCAAAAATATCAAATTCAGATTAATTTAAATTCATTTAACAAAACCGACTTGTGAAAATTAATTCATAATTTTACAAAGAAAAATATTAATAACATTTTCACGGAGAAATCTTATTAAGCAACTCATTTGTACTAATAGAAATAATTCAAAGAATAGACTAATATTTGTCAACCATTTTTAATCCCCACCCTTCCGTGACATTCGTTAAGCAAATGGGGTGCCTGATACTCGTGATTTTTCATTAGCATTGTTCTAAGAGCCTATCAAGCATTCAAATTTGAAATTGCGTAATTAATTTCGACTGGTACAATTATATACTACGAGCAATGAGTGAATGAAGAATGGCTACTGGAAGAACAACTTAAGTCGCCCCGTTGACTCTAAAATTATAATTTTATAAAATAAATGTCTGAAATTCCTGAAACTGGTTTTCAGACTTCAGAACAACGACATCTTCTTAATTTTGAGACATTATTAAGAGCTAAACAAAAATTAGTTGCGATTCTATCAAGCGCTAGATTGTACAAACAAAATCTACCCATCATTGAATGAGTACAGCAACCATATTGTAAGGTCTTCTAAAGCCTGGGTCAGCTTAAATAAACAAGTCTGAAGTGTAACAAAATATAAAAATAGACCTCTCCTCTATTATGATTATCGATGTTACCCCTCGTACCCTGATTTCAATCATAATTCTTACAAAACTTCCCCTCACTACCATCATTTAGGGCCGCTGTAGTTTAAATAGAATGGTACGGATTATCTAATATTAATTTATGTACAGACCCGTGATCCGAAGTATGACTTGCAGATATATTAAAACTTATGAACTTGAGGGATATCGGTTGCTAAGGGTTGAAAGACGTAGTCCGTACAAAAAAGAACACTTTACATCATAAAGGTATCGGCGTCAGGGTGGCGGAGCACTACGTTGTTAAATATTGACTTGCCGTCGAAATGATAGAAGAAAACTATATTTTAATATTCTAAACTGAACTAATTTCCAATAGCCAGAACTGATTAATTTTCACCTACATCAATCTTCGTGTTGTAATGAGTCCTCCTTATTTTGTTGTTGGCTTGTTTTTAACCTGAAACGAAAATCGTCGTTCAAAATCGCGGCCTAGCGCAATTAAAAAACGTTGTGTTTATGCGACGACGTTAGAGTTGGTAATTTGTTTAACTGGATATTTACCAATAGATCATGTTGTAATGTTTGCTAATCATTACATTGCAATTTAAACAACTACTCGTAGTTTGACGTTGGTCAAAGGATATAATTTTTTTTTATGATCGTCGCGATATCCTCCTGCAAACACACCAGCTGCTGCACAAATTTAGCTACCAAATTTCACAGAGATGTTTCAGAATTGCAAAACCTACTTAGTGTGCCCTCTTGAATAAGTTTCTAATAGATAAATGGTTTTTTTTTTATAAATAGAACAAGTTTATGTAAGTCGATTATAAATGTCTTTTCATTATTGTTTATTTGTTTTCTTATTTCGACTTAGTACCTATTTGAAATGTATTTGTAAAATCATTATAAAAGTGAAAAACAATAAGTAAATTTTAAGAAGGCACAGTATGTACAACACATGGACAAATATAGCGTAAGGTTATTATGTAATGATCTATGATCGGAATTGACGGAGTAAATTTAGCTAAACTAAAGAATAACGTGGACATTCCATTCTAAGAATCTCGGGACTTCTCGGAACTGATTATATTAGAATATGCGTATTATTTATTGAAATTTGAGTACTATTGGCATTGACTTACAAATAAATGGACGACGGGTCTAATACAAAAACCACGAAAAAAATGTCCCAAGTCAACCTATTTAAACGTAGTGACATGTAAAGGAATATGAAAAAGCTAAAACGTTGAATTTAAATTGTCATGTCATCGCAGTACTGTCTAATTTTGCTTGCTTCGCTGTCAGTCGAACAAACGAAGACTAAAGCGTGAATGACGCTCTGTATACGATTTTAACGCCCTATAAGTTCGGACACTTTTTAGCGCGAACCCGACGTCCAAATAATTGTAAGTTAATGACTATTGGTGACAAATTATTCGCTACAAACTATTGTCTCAAAAATGAGTTTCTATAGGTACTTACGTATTTAAATAATTTAGCCATTTAAAACATGAACAACAACCAGAGGAACAACCTATATTTTGGACTGTTTAGAAAATAGACAGTAAAAAAAGAAATTTTATACGCATTGATGACTATATGGATTATGTCCATACTAAGAAAACGTTCATACTTTAGGTGGGTTAACTGCCTCAATTCCGATCACTGGTAATGATGTATCTGTTTTTGAAATAACTTATTAGAGTCGGTTCCATTTTGATAAACCCGAGTCAAGGCTAGCAAAGCAGCCCCGAGAAGCAAATGGGTACTCGGTAAGCAGACAGCCTCGAATGGGCTGGCTGCTCGGTCAGCCCGAACCCGGTTACACACAGTCAATTTAGTTAAAAATTGGCTGCTTGAGATTGATCTACATTGATAAGCTCATACATTTATGTCATTAATAAGTAACAGAAGAAAAAAGTGAAAAGTTGCAGTTGTTTGTGTTGTTGAAGAGTTCTGTTGATTTGTAATGCCTTTTTTAGAAGTAATCAAAACAGGACTCGGAAGGGCAGACAGGAAGCCTTACCCCTCACTGAGATTTTCTGTTAACACTATGTATCAAACGAAGTAGTTGATTATAAAGGCCAGAAGGGTGTAAAAAGTACTTAAACATGATTAGTATAAGTTAAATATTTACCTAATACTTACAATGGACGAATTACCACAAAGTATGTTACTTCAGTCCAAAGTCTGCTATATAAGTTATTACAAAAGCTTTAAAAAACCGTCGTCATTAAATTTAGCATTCTTACCGTTTGCGCAATATATTTTAAATTACATTGTTAATTGATTTTTTTCGTAAAAAATAATTGTAAAATTACGTGTACATTAATCGCAGGCCGTGCCGATGCCGTGGCCAACGCGTGACTTGCATTAATTGATTGCAATTAAAAATAAATGTTCTTCATTGATGTAATACAAAAATAAATGTTCGAGCCATCTTTAAAGATTTTACATTGCATAGTCGTTACCAAAATTAAGTTTCAATAGAAATGTTGAACGTTTAATTGTGATGTTCATCACAATTAAACATGTATTGTTTTTAAACAAACATTAAACCGAGAACAAGGTCTAAAACAGAATATAAACATATAAAAACGCATATTCCATTCTTGTGACTTATGTAATCCATTGTGGAATTTGTTTATAAAAATCAGTATTTAGAGTTCATTCTCGGTTTTAGTGGCTCGGATTCTAATAATATTATTGAAATCAACTAAATATGTGGGTTGAGTGCTACCCGCCGGCAATGGCAACACTGGCCTAGTTTTTTCAGCCTTAACGAATGGACTGGTGTCCTATAGGTATACAAGATTAACATTATTTGACGTCGCAATTATCGACTTGAAAACTGTTCGATTAGTGCTTGACGTACGTGTAGATTAATATGCCGGCAAGTAGCACGCCGAATGTTAGAAGAGGTTTGTAGAGAGACCTCTTAAACGCGTGCCATCGCTCTGCATCCCGTGCTCGTCGCTTCATAGCTGACACACGGTCTGCCAACTCGCGCGTGCGCCGGCGACGCAACTCCGTCGCGGTTTCGCTGCTGAAACATAACATTATTTCGTTAAACAATTACCTTTTCTTAATATTTTCCATTTCATTGTGCACACGACATTGTGTGTAAAGTATACGCACCCTTCAGAAAGGAGGGCCTCATTAGGATCATCGTCCTCGTCGTCCGCAGAAGATGCGGAAGACGACGACTCGCGTGCCGGTGGCGTAGGAGGTCCTTCGTCAGAGCTGGACTCTGCTTCTGGGTAGTTCAAGTTGCCTGTGAAATGTTTTTGTTAATGTGTGAACAACATGTACCCAATGCGGTTCCTTTACGATTTACACGTAGTTTCATTTTAGTGAAAAGACATTACCCATGGAAGCACTTGCGGGGATCGCTGGTAAAGGCCTTGCTGGGGGGCGTGTTAGACTCTCGGCGCGAGGTGGCGGTGGCGGAGGCGCTTCCTCCTCGGCCTCGGCCACGGTACAGTACAAACTCTCATTGTCCTCCGATTTCTCCTCTTTCTGTATATATAGACACTGTTTAGATATATAAAAGAAGCAGCTTGCTCCCGAAACCCCCGCCTGACGGCGTTGCTTCAGAGTAATTATCAATAGAAAAGCTCTAATGTAAAATAACGACTACTCACTATTGATGAGTTACCGTTACATCTTATGCTTGTACAGTCAAGAACATCAAGCTTGACACTTTGTACTTTGGACCATTCTTATCATAAGCGGCATAGAGTTGGATTTAAGTCTTAAGTGTAAAGCTTGACGTGCTCTTGACCCTGTACCGACGAAAACAAAAAAGAGAGATCAAGTTGAAGGATTTACTTTGCATGTATAAAAAAAAAATACCGAGAAGCAATAATACGTTGTGAACGTATTGTTGGTACCCAAGGGGATGAAGTAGGTGGGTTTGGGGCCATGACACATTTCAATTGTGACCAGAATTAGAGTTGGAAATGTTATGTTCGTTATGCATCGTTGAACAATTTAATTAAAGTGCCTTGTGAATGACAGTTTTGTAAAACATGCTATAAATTCTAGTCAGTTTTCTTTAATAACATCTAAGAGTATGCGTAATACAGGGTTACATGTTAAGTCGAAACCTTTCAATACAGCACTTCTACAATTAAAACAGTTAGATATACAAGTAGCAAATACTTGTACAAGATTTTCCAAACGTGGTGGTGGTGGTAGTCATTTTTTGTCTTAATGTATCAAATTCGAATTAAAAATATTGTAACTGTTATGCTCTGGCCACACAGAGGCGGCCGCGGAAGGGCTCCAGACGCGGGAATTTTTGTAATGTACGAATTTATATGAACCCTGCCACACTCAAACGCACGAACTCGTACATTAAAAAAAATCCCGCGCCCAGAACGCCTGCGCGGCCACCTCTGTGTAGCCTGAGTATAACCTGGAATTTTGAATAAATCGCGTCATAATTGAGGCTATCAGCGCAAAATTTGTATAACCAACAATTAATTTTTGTCCTACGATATTACTTTAAATTATACTAAAGTACATAATTATTATATGTATATTTGGATGCAATTTTCATGAAAAATATAAATTTATAAAAAAAATATACACAAAAATTGCATCCAAGTACGTAATAATTATGTACTTTAGTATCATTTAAAGTAATATTGTATAAAAATTTATTGAATGTGGGTTACACCACTTTTACGCTAAATAGCCTCAATCAAGAATTACAAAAAAATATATTGTGTAGACTCAATACAAATTGAAGATCTACAACTGATTACATTTTTTTTTTAATAAGCCCATTTTGTCCCACTGCTGGGCTGCCAGCCCAGCAGTGGGACTGGGATTTTTTTTACTTCATATAGCCGCCGTAGAAAATTTTTTAATGTTGTATATTACAACACGCGATTTTCTGTTTCGGCAGCGGTCTACTTAACGTCTAGAACCTATGAATAAATATGTTTTATATATGTATACGTACACACAAAATATATTGTTCATAAATATTAAGAAATAAATCTCATTTAAATACTTAATTACGTTTTCATTACTTTTTTCCATTTTTGTTTTTTTTTTCCTTATATATGTACTCATAAATATTTTTTTAAATATTTTACTTCTACAATAATACCTAATATATTATCCTACAATTTTAGGTCCTTTTTTTATGGAATTTTAACAATGACGAAGATTTGACGTATTTTCAGTTTTCACTTCTCTGAGTGCTATTAATAGGCTATAATAACGTAGGTATTTTGGATTTTGTATAAGAGTGGAATATCTGTTAGGTAGTAACTATTAAGTAATCTGTACCAAGGCCACGACATTTTCCCTGTGAACAATTTGGCTAGGCATGGGCTGCCGCTTCGCAGAACGTATCGTGATCACAATCCGGCAGAACATGAAGTAGCCGTAATAAAAAACAGCGCTGTTTTGCAAACCAGCTAGCCGTAAAGTGGTACAACGCTTTATACAATACAATGCGACTTATACATTTCGTGTACAATCTATCGAGAATAAACAGCTATTACGCTATTAAGTCCAACTAAAGCAATAAGGTTTTACTGGCTAACGTAAATCATTGTTTGTATACCCTATGACAAAATATAATCTCAAATAGTCAACAATCGAAAGTATTTGATCCGGTGAAGAATATAACAAGAATTGTCTTGTTCTTAACAATAACAGACAACATGGTTTGAGTTAAAAACGCATGCGTTCCTCAACTTGACATTGGCGGTTTACCGATATGGTATCGATGGGGATGTAACATTATAAAGTAGAAGTACCGTACATAGTCATTTTTACTTGACATTGGCGAAATCGGCGTTTGGTTCGATGGAGCCATACCATTTAAAAGAAGAAGAAGAAATACTATCCTCAACAAATGCTTTTGGGGATTTTTTCAATATTAGCTGTAACAATCTATCAATGGATAGGCATCCGTATTACATACTTAATTTTGTAGTATAGGCTAATTTGTTGTTATAATTGTAAGTCAATGGTTAAAACCAATATATTTTTTTCAACTGATGCTTTGTAGCTTTTCACATTAAGGCAATATATATATATATATATTATTACGTCCTATACTATACTATTTGCAGTGTTCCCACCGGAACCAATAACTTTCGATTGGGGACAGTTGTTTATGTTGGTCTTATCCATCCAATAAACAGCCCAATAGAGAAGGACATCAAAGTTACCTATAGGAAATTCATTACGAAAAATTCGCTACTATATAATGACTACATAACTATATGTATAATTACGAGATAACGATATATTCATTTATTTCATTAGGTGCGTTGTAGAAAGATTTAGTATTATAATTATATAAGTAGCGTTGGTCATAATCTTTACAGATTAAGTAAAATTCTATTGGGCTATTTGTTTGATGTATATAATACAATACATTAAAACCAAACTATAATAACACTAGAAGTGTAATTCCGGTCTGTTCGGCGAATCAATGACTACACGTCAATCGCAAAGTAGGGTAGTAACATTGTTATTTTAGATGTACTTAAATCTTAATAAAATTCGAAAAAAATAATATATCAATATTCCTGAGCTATATTGCAATAACCTTTGTCAAATGCAGTATATACTTACATACTGATATTTTTATACCAGTATCGCGGAATAGTATCTCGATCATGAAATAGCAATTAAATGCGACTTTGTATTGTATATATGTAACGTTATATTTATAAATAAAAAAATACATAATTTTTACACAGAAAAACATTTAAAAAATTTTAAAACCAAGCGAACGCTTCAATTCCATTGCGCGCGTGACGTGCGCTGAGCATATTGAGTTCTTCGCGACATTATGCCAATGTGTGCATACATACAATACGCGCGGGGGGCGCGCACACTTGTAAGCCGCGCTGCCACATTCGTATGGAGTTACACTATTTGTCTTATTATACTATGGTGAAAGCGTCCATATTGTTACGATGAAACTTACCGTTGGAGCTTCATGGGCAATAAAAATTCAAACAAAGAAAATTACGCGATATAATGGTTTTAGATAGCTCTTAATCTTTTCGTAGCGGTTAAGTTGTTTTTAAATATAATAATACTGCAAATGAACAAAATCTTCGTCGATACATGATGAAGCAATTGTTAAGTAGCAGTCGCTTAAGGATTTCGATAGTCCATTTCAGTGATTAGGTATTATTAGATATTTATTTATGCAAATTGCATACCTAATTATACTACCTCTAGAGATTTTTTTATATACATACATTATTATTGATACAAATAGTATAGTGGCGCGATTCAAAACCGTGCGTTTGTTAACTTACTATACAGTCCTATTCAGAATATCCTAAATTATATGCCTAGTGAATAACTCACATAGCTTACGATTGGTGAAAATAACCAGTTCTTTTTTAATTTTGATGTTTTTTATTTTAGATAAGCCGCTATTATACAAAGCCACCGATTTATGAACTGCATTTTGTTGAAAAATCTAATCTATAGATAAATAATCTAAATGCGACTAGGAATTTAGTGAGATCCTGATTATCTATGAATATAAAATTTAACTAACAATAATAATTGCACATTCCATATCTTTCGATCTAAATTCAATGGAAAATGTACCTTAAAATTAAAACGATAAGGTATTTATTATCAAATGTTTGCAGCGTTAATATTATTTCGATACCAACTGGGTACCACTCTAGATCGTTTTGGTTTCAGATGTCTTAAAGACACATCAAAATTTATATCTTAAAAATTATTAGATTTCTTTTAAATCTACTTCGTATAAATGTCATATAATCTACCTATACATATATAAGGACTATCAATCCATATTGATATTATATAATACTGATAATAAATAAATAAAAATTATGACTTTTTTGGTATATCTTACAAAGTTTACGTCAAACACTTATTTCTATAAAAAATGTAGTAAATGTTGTACAATATACCTATACCCATGGCACTGTATCGATCCATATTGACTTATCTTTAAAGATAGTTTTTTTTTTCAGTCCTGTGCCATTGCAAAGCATAGGCCTCTACTAGTTCATCCCAACCTTCGTTATCTCAAACAGTCTCTAATAGCATCACTATAATGTTAACTAAATTTATACATAATAGAAGTTATTATGATGTAGGCATTCGCTAAAAATGGATATTTTTTAACTACCGGAGCTTAACAAAACTACCAGGGAATTTTCAATGATTTTACGTACGAAAGTGGTTGCTAGAAAGGAATATGATTAAAAAAAAAAAAAGGAAAATAGAGAGAGAGCGCTCTTTATAAAACAAGTTTGATTCCATTATCGATGCTAAGTAATTAAACTCATTGACTGACATGTAAACAAAATTTTACTGTCCCAAATATTCAACCCGATTTTCTTCAATTTTCCAAGGCAACATAATTTGCTACCATTTTATACAATGTGTTAATTTGCATTCTCACCATATTTACAGAGGTCATTCTATATTCGAAACTGAACCTAATTAATTGCGGTTACCAAGTTTGATCCAAAGATCATTGACTTGCATTACACATGCCACAAGTACCGGCAACCTTTTGAACAACCTTTTGCGCAGTATGCGCAGAAAATATGCATTTTAGATCTATTTGGTAGCAGGGTACGAGTAGAGATTGGCGGGAGTGTCGTATCGAGCGCGTGATTGGTAGATCATCAGTCGACATCGCGCATACGTTCTAGTTTCTCACGAAATGCAACATGGTTTGTGTGTGATGTAAACAGAGTTAGTGCAAAAAAAAAAAACCGCTACCAAGTGTATTCAAGTGCGTTCTTATGGCATGATGTGAAACGTTTAGTTTACGCAGATTACGAGTGTCGAAGAATTGCGCATAAAAATCGTCTCTGGTTTCTTTCTGTTTTTTCTATTGTGAAGAATGTGCTAAGTTGAAACGAAACTCTGCATATCTGTGGTTGGCTCCGGTGCAGAGCCTGCCACCAGCTGTGCAGCTAGGTACCTACTTTCATGTAACCTAAAGTTGGTAAGTACCAAATCTAAGTTACAAAAACATCTTTTTTCACTAAAATTTTCTAAGTAATATAAATAATAAGTAAACTATAACAATACTAGTACATAAACATGATTTAAAAAAGCTGCGGAGCTAGGTACTTCTACTTTCATGTAGCCTAAAGTTGGTAAGTACCAAAACTAAGGTTATAAATAATCTTTTTTCAGTCAACTTTTCTAAGTAATGTAAATAATTAGTAAATTATAACAATACTAGTACCTAAACATGATTTAAAAAATAGGTAAATAAGCGATTGAGAAAGATTACGTATCGCTCGGTGAAGCGAGTGGCGGGGTCACTATCCTCTGCGGTGAACGCACTTGGGGGACAACCATACAAAACTTTACTAGATACAAGCCAGAATATTGAACAGAATATTTTTTAAATATTTTTAGATGATTTAGCATTATTTCTATTATTAATTTCTTAAATATGGCGAGAATGTAAATCAACACCCTGTATACTTTGATAATCAAAGGGTCCACTAGAAAAATAATAAATTCTTTGTACTAAATAGTATTACTTATGTTTGTAACACAGTTTTTGTAACATACATAGGTACAAAAAATGAGAGCAGAGAAATTTCTCGACAATAGCAGCGGCCATAAAACAATATTATCAAATTTCTAAAGCGTATTCTACTGACGTTAAAATGTTCTCTACTATCTTCATCATCAATCCACTGCCTCGGTGGCCGAATGGTTACCATACCGGACTGCCACGCCGAGGTCCCAGGTTCGATTCCTGGGCCGGGAGAAATATTTGTATGGCCTATATTTATTTCTCTCGTAAATTTGGGTGTAATTTGTGGTTGTCTATCTGTGTGTCCATGGCACCCGCGATACAGGATTTCCCTAGTGCGGGGCTATGTAGAGTGTGTGCGTTATTGACTAGTCTTATTCATTGACTTCACTTCCACTGTCCACAGTGGCAATTTTATTAAAAAATTAATGCTTTTTAGAAGTTTCTTAAAGTCAGTGGAAATTGCAACAAACAAACAAATAATAAACTAGAATATTAAAAAATGCTCAATGGCGTCGTCGTCCCGACTGGATAATCGTGGAATCGAACAAATACAGGACCCAAGGAGGATCCCATTTGACAGAGCGGTGTTAGGGAAGTTGTGCCATAGTTATTCGTTGGTAATGCTTAAAAAGCCTGATAATAAAAGTTGTCAACAAGTGCGTCTCCAATAATACTCGCATACGGTGCAGATAATGGACCCTGAGTGTGGACTAGTCCACAAACTGAAATCTATACTCGGCTTTAGTCTCAGAAACAAGATTTGCAAAAAAGAGAACTGTCAGAGACCGAAAGTTACAGAAATAGCTTTAAAAGTTAGTAGCAGTGGGCTAGTCAGGTCTATCGCAAAACCGACAAGCGTGTCGAGTAGTGTGGGTCAGCCCCGGCCAGACGGCGAAGGTCTGCGCAGGATGGTTGATAATGGTAAACATCGGGCTTTTGAAGCGCGCCATAGAATGCCTGTGTTCAACAGAGAACTTCAGTGGGCTTATGGTAATGTTTAATAGAATGATGACATGTAAATTCAATTGTAAAAGCCATGACCAATTTGGCTACAGTCTAGTTAAAGTAACTGGAAATTTGCTTAATATTCTGGGGTTAAATTTGAAAATTCCTTGGTAGTTTTAAATGTTTAAGCAGTTTGTAATCCTACCAACGCAACACTCCTATGAGAAATATGTACATTTAATTGGATTCAAATATTAGTACACAAAGCTATCGTTCAAAGTCAAACATTTTTAATCATAAAAGTTTTTTTAACGTCACATGAGACATAAAGCTTCAGTTTCCATTGGCCGTGCCATGAAACATTTAATTGTAGTTGTCCTTAATCCCTGTATACGAAACGTTTCAGATTCTAAATCAGAAACTTACGAACCCTTTAATAAAAAGCCATTGCTCGAAAAGTATTTTATATTTTCGGTAAACAGTACGTGCAAATGGTATTTTTCGGCACTGCACAAGTGTAAATTACCTTGTTTTTAAAGCACTTGTGCTTTTTACAAAAATAAATTAAATTTTTTTATTGACAAATGCTTTCTTAACGATTGGAATCAATTCGAACGACTTTATATGTAGAAAAGTGAATAAATAACAATCTACAGTGCTTCTATTTTATCCGAATGCACACGAATATTAATTTCCATTATTAGATTTAAAATCTATAGTAATTTGAATTTTGAACAATGTTCTTTATTGTTGTTTTGTTTTATTTCCGTGTGAACTATATAGAGCTGTAAAACTATTTCCCTATTTTAAACAATATTTACTCCATGTCAATAAGCAAGTAACAATAATCTCAGTACAGAGTACTAAAAAAACTGACCTCAAAAAGTACGTGGAATTACGTCTATTTGCTAAGTTTTATTGAACTATCCTTAAATTCGCCACTATACAGGACTTGACACTGGAGATAATAAAAATCGGTTCTCACTACTCAATGTATATTGAGAGAAAAACGCCTTGAATTGGAGAAATCGCAAAATCAACCATAAAAATAATTGTTCCTTAGTAAAATTTAGGCGCTATTTATAAAAATTAATCTTCATGCTCATGTAGGGTGGCTGTTCATACAGCCACCCGTAGAGGTGAATGATTTTCTTGAAATAGAAATGGGACCACTATGGAAGTACCCCCTTTCCAACAAAAAAAAGATGAAAATCGATTCATAAATACTGGAGTTATCGCGTAACATACATACAAAAAAAACAAAAAACATACAGTCGAATTGAGAACCTTCTCCTTTTTTAAAGTCGGTTAAAAATATAAAGGAAAGGGAACTGACTTATCTTTTTATATCTTAATTATTTTATATTCTTTTTTTAAATACAATACACGTTTTAGGATTTTTTGAAAATAACCATAGTCATCTTTCTTGAGCGTATCGACTTCTTGTAAAAAATACAATTACACGCTGTAAATTATCTGTCGTGCCTGTGACTTTAGCGGCTTTCCTCCCATTGCATAATAAATAAAAAAATGTAATATTAGGAACTCTATATACTTCCAAGTCGACTGAAAGCGGTCTGTACGACGACAGCCGAAACACGAAGTTTGTTGAGACACATTGCGAAAATAGAAGCACTGTCAGTTCCGTTGACTTTTCATTTTGTTACGATTACTACCTATATATTGAGAAAGTAATCGCGTTTGAAATAGCCTACTTTCCTCCCTAGTTACACAACATACTATAGTTATTACGTCAGTGCTGCCATGACGGCGGGTATTGTACTACATCTTAGGATACAGGTTTCTTTTAATTGAAGCAATGGATGTTGTATTCATACTACTATACCTTCATATAGTATCTGTAGTACCCGTCATCCATAGAAATGATTCATTATTCATTTGAACTTTATTTCACGTGGCATAAAGTAATTTTGATTTCTTTATTATGTTATAGTTCCATATCTTGATTTTAACAAATACATTTTTTTATTAAAGCTCTTATTCATAAGCGTGTTAAAGTTGTTATCATTTTCGAAATAGTAACAAACTGAATATGTTTAAATTATTAAATTTAATTATTTAATTTCATGATATACCATGCTTTGTTGATGCCTTATGAGAGATACATTCCAAACCTAGAGCCTAAGACGTTCTGTTAACTGTAATTTAATTTATAAATATTTAAAAGTTTGGAAATACCCTATTTTTTTAAAAGTGATAAAATTAAATACATATATACATATGTTTACTATAAAACTTACATTTGCAATATCAATGTAAACAAAATACATATCTTATAATGAACATTTATAGCTACTCATTGCATAATGCTCTAATTACTATTTAAATTTGTTGTGTTAGAGAAAATAGTCCAAAAGCTATCGAAATCCTTAGCGATAGAGGAAGCTACGCCGAATGGTCCTAAAGACGTCACGCACGCGTCTGTACGCCATCGTGACACGTTGACGGATCGTAGGTTGCCTTACCCATGAAGGATCGAGACGTTTCATTCCTTCTATAATAGCTTGGTACGAAAACCTCAGCTGGTCCGGAGTCTGGATCAAACCCATGCGGTCTTTCCGCATCTCCAATAGTATTTGCTGAATGTTTATGCTGTTGGGGCCCTCTTTCTCGATCTGTTTGGAAATACAGGGTGCTTAAGATTACCTAATGCACGAATGTCGAGTGCAAATCACATAGGGTCAAAAGCAGCGCAATCATGGGTCAGTAGTAGTTTTGCAAGTTGATTATCGTAAAAATGGTATGTTGAGGTGAAAAAAGTCTATAAGATAATTAAATTCGTATAACACAGATGTAACGCGGAAACAACAATATGCACAAAGAACAATGGCGAAATTATTGTTAGAGTTCTTAAGCGTTTTCAAAGGTCCTATTACAAGTTTCAATATATAAATGCATTACATTTGTCAAATTATATTACAGACCTAAGTCTGGAAATAAAATCATATGTAAATGAATGACTAATTAGTATGTAACCGGACTGATATATCTACAACTATTAGTTTCTTAACGTTGAGCGACACCTAAGCGTCAAAAAGAGATGTTCAATACCTACATACGTATAGATTGTTCCACATTAAGTTAGTTCGACATTCGACCGTTTTGCAGTGATTAACTACTTTATTACAAAAAACTAATGTAGATAATTCCTTCTCCAAATATGCCACGCGAGAAAGTGACAAAAAGTTCCCGATATCGTAATATACCGAGATAGATGGCATGTTTCCCAAAAAAATAATTTGTGCTTGTGTTACCAGGACATGGTATGTATTAATTCAGTTTTCTTTTGTAATGGCTTAACTTCATACCCTTTGACCATACCTAAAAAAATATATATTCCTCTGAACTTTCGTCACGTCACAAACCCACAACATCATTCAGGTTCTATTAACTGTGTTTAAGGCTTCTGTAGTTTATTTTGATATAAGAACACACCGAAAATATTTCATTAATTATGTAAAATATAACCTCCAAAAACTTCAAACTGGAATATCATTAATTCCAGACTTCTCAGAATAGTAAACTGAAAACTATTCAGGTTGAGGTGAAAAGTGTTCAGGAATTAATATTTTCGCATATTTTACATAAACAGACGCACACAAATTACTTATGTAAACAAAATATTATATGAGAGTTCGCCATTGTTCTTTATTGTGTGCATTTTATAAAAATATTTCAACCAACAGTGGCCATCATAAAAATAACCCTTATTAAGATCGTCTCAAAAGAATTTAAAATTGATTCGTTTAGACTATCATTCATCCAAATGATTTTTTTTGTATTGGTCAAAAATCGTAAATAATACCATACATAGGTATAAATCAATGTCTGTTTCCATTCCATTTTTAATCATCCAATTGCGATAAAACTTTCGTGTTGTTATGTATGTAGACGCCCGCAAAAGTTTCTAAAGTATTAGAAGTATTTGAACATCAGGTGGGCCAGTTGTTGGAACAAAATGAGTCTGCATCCAAAATGGTGACTTCCTTTTGGTTTATGCCGTTATGCCTTTTTGGTAAAAATCTCAAATTTATAAATAATCGCCGAAACTAGCAGCATACTAGGTACTTACAATGACGAGGCAAGAGTCCACCAGGCAGAAGGTACCGGAACGGCCAATGCCGGCACTGCAATGCACCACAGCAGGGCCAAATTCGGGATTCAACGTGCCAGATTCTTGTACTTTCTTAAGAAAGTCCAGAAACGCTGTAGGAGACGAAGGGACACCGAAGTCCGGCCACGTAGTATAGTGAAACTGAATAATCTCACGAGATTCGTGTGTGTCCATGTCTTCGACCCTAAAAAGGATTTCAAAACAATAAACATATGTTATTCTACTATGTTTGTAATGCAAATGACCTTAGTGACATGGAGGTCGAAAAATTGAATAGGTATTCTGTAACTGTTGTGTCAAGCAAGTACTTATAGCCAAAGTAATTCGGATTAGGATTCGCATGTGGGATCTTCTATCACCTCATGCAATATATTGTAAAAATTGTTTTGGGATATCTTACACATGAGAATGTTACCCACGAGGAACCTCATTATGTTAATGGCTCTAATTCGTTAATACGCTAAAACAAATAAAAACAGAAGTAATTTAACAGGGTTGTGATTGAAGTTATATGTTTTACTGTCCAATAGATTCGCATTGCACAACCAGCGGATGCTACCGCAAAACCGTCGACTCTGAGTCCACTACCAAATCTCCTCACTGGTGGTGGAGCTGTAAGACACGCTCACTTCCTGACGCCGAAAAACGACGTCTTTCCAGTTCACAATAATCTAAGCGGCTGGAGGGACCGGAGCATATCTAGTTTATCCTCTACTAGCTCTCCGGGCTAGTGTCGGAGATGGCAGTCGCAGTGTCCTGCGACAATGTCCGGACATAGCTTATACATAACATACACATACATACATAACATTAAGTTGGACTTAAAGGGCAACTCACGTGTCCAGCACGTCTCCTCGCTTCAGGCCCTCAACTAGACCGCTACTAAGACGCGCTAACTGCTCACGAGACAGACGTCCCGGCCACATGCAACCGGGGCAGACAAACATGTCCATTTCTGCAGCTAACCATAAACCCCAGCAAGTACCCATACCCAAGTCCCGGACCGCCAGAGACGGATTGGATCGCAAAGGCGGATCACTGGCAGAGAGCTTGGCTCGGACGCCCGGTGTACCCTGGTCTTGCCATCGAGCCCGTAGTCTTTCTGGAAAACCCTATCTCTCGGGTCAGTAGATAGGGGTAGGGGTGCAATGCGCAACGCAAAAGAGAGCGTGCCTACTGCTCCGGTACCTATCTGGAAAACAAGGAGGGTACTGTACGTGCACCCGAAGCGGCTCACCCGAGGCACTAGCCTCTCGAAGAACCGGATGAAGTCAAGTGACAGAGGTCTGTGACAACCCTGTACACGGGCTGATCTGGGGTCAGAACCTGAGCATGTAAGGTTCCTGTGCGCGCCCAGGTCATAGTGCCATTCCCGCATAAACAAGAGGTTGATAGGGAGGGGCACTATAAACAAAACTTAGGTAGAATGATATGGGACTGTCCAATAGATTCGATGATGTTCGTTTGGGTAATTACCTGAAGAGCCGCGTAACGTAGTAATTAAAGTTTTGTTCCTCAAGTTGCTCGATGCTCAGTCTGACGGCAGTGAGCTCTAGTTTGTACTGTTCCCCAGTGCCCTGGGGCCAGTACCAATGACACTTTACTTCATTTTTTTCTATAGTTTTGTTGAGCATCAAAATGGCGCGTGACTTTTGCTCCCATATCATCAGCCAGAAGTGGCCGACTGTGAACGAAAGTGGACCTTGCGTGAGGATGTACCGTCGTTGGGCTCGTTCCATCTGTGGACAATAATACATCTATGTTTAGAATCGCGATCTTACAGCAAAATGACTTCAATTGAGCTCTATTTTGTTATTTTAAATCGATGATATATTATTGACGTTTTCCACGCCTGTTTGAAGAGTTGTGCTATTGTAAAAAGGGCTTATGATTCAGGAATGTCGAGAACATTTAGTGGGTATAAAGACACTCCTTTGCCTTTGCTCATAACTCTATTGTGGATGACGTGTAAGCGGTGAGGGCGGATTTAATGAGCCGAAGTTTCATTTTTTCTATTAGTCGGTGCGGCAGCGGTACGGCATCGGTATTGCTCGGTGTACGCGGTATACCGGAAACCTAAACGATCCCTTCCCCCTACTGCCGGAACCGCGCCAATCAGGAAGCGCACGTTGAAATATAGGCGCTCGGTATGCTTTCGGTACGGCGTATACCGCGTACCGATACCGCATCGCTAGAACACCGACAAATCCGACAAGTTAAAAAGCTTAAAACTGAAAATATCCGATTAAATTGATTTTTCTCAAATATGTTGACAATTTGAGCGCTCTCAACGTACAGTAACATCATCATGGAACAAAACTTGTTGTTTATTATGTCTGTTTGCCAGTAATATAGTCCTGGGTGGTTGTTAGTCAGGCGTGATGATATGTATGTACAAGAACGCAAAATCAACCTCGAACCACTCGACAACCTTGTATTAGTAGGAATTTGAAACAGATGAATGAAAAAAATGCAAATTCTTCTTTTTTTTAGTAAATTTGTCATTATCTGTATCTAGCATAACAGGGAGCGACATATCTATGCGAGAACTAAGTATCTCGCGCGTTATGTCGCTCTCGAGCAAGTCGCGCTGAGACGTGCTCGCGCTACTGGCGCCGTCATACAATTTTGGTGGATTTAAATTTCTGAGGTGCATTACCGGCACGCCATTTTATCGTTTGGTTAGCTGGCACTACATAGGGCGCACTATAAGTTTCCGGACCTGGTCACTTACATAAACAATATTTAAAAAGTAATTAGCACATTTGAAAATGGCACTCTGGCTGTGAATACAGTTTCTTTCATCTGACTGTCACTTTTTTTTACATTGTGGCGTCATTTTAGAAATTGGTTGTCTACAACAACATGGATTTAACTCGTGAAAATTTTCGTAGTATGATTTTCTACGACTTTAAGTGTAATTTAACAGCTCAGCGGAGCTTCGCCCGGCTTCAAACTGCTTTTGGCGATGAAGCACCATGCAAGACGACTATTTATAGCTGGTTCGCAGAATTCAAACGCGGTCGTGTGAATCTCAGTGACGAATTTCGTGATGGTCGCCCGTCTACTGCTGTGAACAACAAAAACATCTATGCTAGATACCATGAGATTCGGGCATCTTTAGGCATAGGCATGAGTCAAATACAATCAATACTACACAAACATTTGGGTGTGAAAAAGCT